CCAAGTTCCCTTTGTTGAGAAGGTTCTCCTAAACTTCCCTTTATCCGTTCTCCACAAAGAAACATCCTCTTCCTGAGTCCAGTTGGTTTTATAATGATCAATCTCCATTTCCACTCTATTCAAAATTGGAACTCGGTGTAGTCTTCTGCGATGGTTTCTACAAGCTGCAACTTTCTCAGTAGCAAGAATACCCAAATCAAAGTGACCTCTGCCCCCAAGAATATCGTGAAGACATCCCAAAGAGGACCAGTGATCATGCCAAAAGGAAGCTTTCTCACCATTTCTAACCTCCACCTTATAAAAAGTCTTTGCAACATCACGGCATTTTAAAATCTTCCTCCACATCCATGTACCCGTCTGAGCATTTTCTTTTAACATCCAAAATGATCCTTTACGGATGAGATAAGACTGAACCCAATTAACCCAAAGAGAGTGAGAAGAAAGAATCCGCCATATCAATTTAATACAACACACCAGATTTACTTCCCGCAGAGGTCTGATTCCTAAGCCACCTTCTGATTTTGGTTTACAAACCTCCCTCCAAGCAATCTTGATCTTTCTGCCATTCAAACTAGGACCAGACCAAAGAAAGGCTGAGCATAACCTTTCAATCTCCACAATACAATTACTTGGAAGCCTAAAAGCCGCCATCCAGAAGTTAGTAAGACTCATGATCACTGATTTCAACAACTGCAAACGCCCAGCATAAGATAGAAATCGGCCAGTCCAGGAACCCATTCTTTTCCTAATTTTCTCAATTAGGGGGAGGTAGTCAACAATGCTCATACGCTTAGTTAACAAAGGGAGGCCAAGGTAACGAACCGGAAGCTTACCAGAGTCAAACTGAAAACTGTTCTGAACGTCCTTTCTCTTCTGAGCAGTACCACCAGCCATGAAAAGAACAGATTTCTCCATGCTAATCTTCAAACCACTCATTTTATCAAAGTTATCAAAGACCTTCAGAATCCCCTCAATAGAATGTTGTGAGCCATCCGCAAACACAATTAAATCATCCGCAAAACAGGGATGAGTGAGATCAAGCTTCCTACATTTGGGATGATAACCAATCTCACCCCTACACGCAGCTTTATCCAACATCCGTGATAAGACATTCATACAGATGACAAAAAGACAAGGAGACAAAGCGCAGCCTTGACGGAGACCTCTCTTACTCTGAAAGTAACCAGCTAATTCACCGTTAACTTGCACAGAGAAAGAAGGCGACGTGATACAAAGAGAGATCCACTTCACAAACTTCTCTGGAAAACTCATAGCCGTCAAAGTATTCAGGAGAAAAAGCCATTGAACAGAGTCAAAAGCCTTTGATATGTCAATCTGAAGAGCACATCGAAGAGAGATATCCTCACTGTGATAATCTTTCACGAGTTCTGAAGCTAAAAGAACATTCTCCATCAAAAGCCTCTCCTTTACAAACGCCGATTGGTTAAGGGCAATACATTTCGGCATAATGCTCTTCAGTCTATTTGCAATGAGCTTTGAGATTACCTTATAAAGCACATTGCAAAGGGAGATTGGTCGATAATCTTTCATCATCCTTGCTTCCTCCTTCTTTGGGATAAGAGCCAAAATTGTGGAGTTAAGGCCTTTAGGGAGGAAACCTTTAACAAAGAAGGATTGAACAGCATTAACCACATCTGATCCAATTACTGGCCAAGCCTCTTTGAAAAATTCTGAAGTAAAACCGTCCGGACCCGGAGATTTACTTGACGGCATCCGAAAGACCACTTCAATAATCTCCTCCTTAGTCACCTCCCTTTCAAGATTTAGACAATCGATCTCACTACACTGAAAAGTCAGGAGCTCCCTAAGCTCTGCCACAGTAACCCCCTCGTAATCATGAGGAATTCTTTGCATAAATTCTGTAAAAAAACCTTCAGCTTCATCTTTAATTTCCACATCAGACTTTGCAATAGTACCATCAGCTCGTGTAATCTCATGTATGGCATTACGAACTTCCCTAATCTTCGCAGAACTATGGAAGAACCTGTTATTACCATCACCAACATCAAGCCAATGAACTTTTGCCTTCTGTTTTAAGAATTCTTCCTCTATCTCAGCCAGCCTTATCCATTTCCTGTACGCCTCCGCTTCCTCTTTAAGTGCTGCGCTTGTTTGCTTTACCAGGGTTACACTCTGTCTATTGCACAAAAGCTGATAAGCCTCTCTGGTCCTTTTAGATAAATCACCCAACTTCTCCTTACTAAGAGTACGTAACGGCTGCTTCAAAGCCTTTAAGCGCTTCGTGAGACAGAACATCGCAGAGGTAGATTGATACAATGCTTCATAATTACTCCAGTGATCCTTAACCAAAGGCAAAAACTCTGGCATTTTACTAATCACATTAGTAAACTTGAAAGGCCTTCTCTTCTTCTTCTCTTCTATATCCAGCTCAACTCTGCATCTCAAGTGATCTGAGCAACCCCCGGCTTCAAAGACACAATAACCAGGATCATTATGCAACCAAACTTCGTTAACCAAAACCCTGTCAAGCTTCTTACATATGAGACCCTCTTCACGCTTGTTACACCAAGTTAGGAGAGGACCTTGAAACCCCAAATCAGTGAGGTGACAATATTCAACAACTTCTTGAAAATCCCTCATGCCAGGAAGAGACCGAGAATTCTGATAACCAGAATGTTCATCACTTCCCAGGATTTCATTATAATCGCCCATCAACATCCACTTCTTGTTCCGGAACATAGGAGCCTCATAGTGGTTCCTCAAGTCATTCCAAAGATCCTTCCTCTCTTCAACCGTGTTGAAAGCATAGATAAAAGAGCAGAAGAACTCTTCATCTCTCCCTGGTAACAGAACAGAACACGTGATGATCTGAGCACTCTTATATACAGGATTCATACGAACAGACGGTCTCCACACAACCCACACTCGCCCTAACCCATTGAACTCATAGTTAGTCATCAAATTCCACCCTTCAAATACCTTATTTACAATCCTGTCAACTTTCTTCTCCTTAACCCTCGTTTCAATTAAACATCCAAACTTAAAAGAATCATCTCTACACCATTTCCTCACCACATCATGCTTCGTCCCTTTATTGAAACCTCTCACGTTCCAGAAGAAACCTCCCATGATTAATGGTTTAGACGGGAACCCCTTTTCGAAGCCTCAGTGGCTTGGATTGAGGTCTTAGATGTTAAGACTCTATGGTTCGTTTTTGACGTACGTGAAGGCATTAATCTCATACCTCCTTTGCTTCCTTCTGCTTTTTGAAAAGCATCTTCAATTACCTTATTTAGAGTGTTTTCCCGCGATCCAATATATTGCATATCTTCCTTATCATTCACCGTGTCGACAACCTCTTCACCCTCTCTCTCAATCTCCTCTGAAATATCCAAAATAGCAAACCTCGAAGGAGTTATGATAGTTTCCTGATCACACTTCAATATTGGTGACTGCCTACTTGCCTTCTCTTCCGAAACACGTTCCCAATCATTAATCTCACCCTCCTCCTTTTGAGACTCAGTTTCCATAACTCGTTTCTCTTCACTACCTTTTTGCGGAGTAACTCCCCCATCCCTCATATCATCATCATCTTTAGAACCAGACTTCATCCCTGCAACATTTATTATATCTTTCTCCTCCTCCTTCTCTTTACCCTTCTCCTTGCAAAACGTATCAAAGTGCCCCCATTTACCACATGTACCACATTTAGGAGGTAGCCAAGGGTAATGGAACTCAACCACTGTATTCTTCCCCTGAATCAAGTAGTTTATCTTCTTCGGTAATTCCTTAGTGATATCAGCCTTAACAAACACTTTTGCAACTTCAAAATCCTTACACGCCAAAGTGTCTGGATGAAGATGGTCTGGGACCCCCACGGCACTGGTGATGAAGCTTAAACCTTCCCAAGAGTACATACTCAGAGGAACATTCGTTAATTGAACCCAGAGAGGGATCAATTTCGTCTTTGATAGATCTTCTACTGGAGACCACTTTGAAACTACCATAGCAACTCCCGCAATGTTCCACATACCCCTACTAATCACCTTTTCTCTCACCCTAGGATTTTGTATTCGAACCCGCATCATGTTGGTTTCCATTTCATAGACATCCAGCTTCTGATTCTTATCCCCATAAGCCCAGATCTTGTTCAAAATGATGTGAACCTTCGCAATATGTGGAGCATCCTCCAGAAAAGAGATGATGACGAAATCCTCCCACAACGGATTAGATTTCTCTACAACCTCTACTGGTACCTCCACAGATTGATTCCCATCCGAAATCGCCACTTCAAACTCGTATTTCTGCATATTCTGCTTCCTTACTGTTACCTCAGCATAAGACTTCGACACCACCGGAGCCGGCGCCGGTAGAGGCGGAGGATCCTCTTGAACCTCCGGAGAACTCATCGCTGCCCCGGAGAAAGAAGCGATGAAGCGTAGGTCACGAATCGCCAATCAGATCGCCAAATCGCCCTCAGAGCAAAACATCCCTAGCTTCTCTTCTTCTTCCTCTACCACCAACACATCTTAATCTTCGTAACAGACAAACATTGTTATGCAAATTAAAATCAAATTCAGTTAAAAAAATAAAATCAAATATGCAAATAAATGAATTCCAGGTTGTTCATGTTCAACTATACAATTTGTCAATCGTTCATGAGGCCCATTATTATATTGCATTAGAACTATATTTCTCCTACGTCAGCTATTACTCTACAATGCCGCCCAAAGTCATATGAGGCATAAAACATTCTTTTAACTGTAACTATATGTAAAAGATTTAACTAAAATTTATATCCTTAATATATTTATAAATCCTGCCACTTATTAAAACTCTTGTTTTATGAGGTTTAGCTTAGCCCAAACCGCTACTTTACATATATAATTATGGTTTAGTTAAGTTCGATCTTATTTTCAGTTCCATGTTAAGACAACTGCACATGCACATGCTACCGAATACGGAACCACATAACACGATGTAGTGACATCTCGTCTAAAAAAAGAGAGAAAGCATTTATTTAGTATACCGTTACATAACTACTAAAAGGACAATGTATCTCTTCTTTAAATAGTAGATAACTTGCAATTAAGCATACACAAATAAAAACCAACACCAAATCATAATTGTCCATTAGGACAAGCGCATCATAACATCAAGAACGTACGACGTGGGGCTTGCCACGTGATTCATCTAGCTGGTTAATCATGTAAAGCGCGTTGCTCGTAACCCTCGCAACCTTCGTCATCCAATGCTTCACCTGCGACTTGACCTCACCGTCGACACCTTTAAACCCATCTAGACACGTGTCATCATCTGTCAACGCCGCACTAGCCCACGTCTGCGCGTTGCTCATCTGCCACCTAAACTCATTCGCCGAACCTCCCGAGACGTGGAGATGCTTTAAAGCGCCTAGCGTGCGGCTCAGCTCATCCACCGAGTCGCCAATCATCTCCACGCAGTCCACAACCGCTGCTTTCTCGCGTTTTTTCCCCACGGTTTGTCTCACAGCCGCGAGTTTCTTCGCGGCGGCTTGAGCGTGAGAGAGGCTTACTTTGACGGCGGCTTGAGCTAGCTCGCGACGGTTTGTGATGGTTGGACCTGAGTAGGTAGAGAGTGTACGGACGCATAGAGATGGATAGCTCGCGTGCACGCAAGATGAATGTACGATATCTTCCGCAGCACTATTAGGTCCATATGCGGTGGTGGCGGCTACAATGACGGCTGAGACAATGACGGTGAGAACGAGCTTCTGAGGAGGAGCCATTGTGTGAAGTGGAGTGTGTGTGTGAGAGAGAGAGAGGCCAAGTTAGGGTTATCTCTGTAAATGGAAAAGGAGAACGGTGACTGGTTGGTAAGAATTTAAAGTGGTAGGTGTTAGCTTATTTATGGTTTATTTCATAGATACCCTCATGTGTTTCGTTCTAATTTGCGTGGGTACGTGCATGATAGGATGGTAAATTCATATCTCTTGGTTATGTGGAAAATCTGTAAAATTGAATGCACCACAAATTACCGAACAGAGTATGGCGACAAAGAAAGAGTGTCCAGTCCAATGCTGGCAATGCATATAGATAAATTAATAGCATGTGAATAATAATTATGATAACATATGTAAAGTGTAACGACAGAAACAGAAAAAAATGTGGAATTATTGGCCGACGGCTCACCAATGGCCAATTATATTTAAAGAGGGTTCAGAAGATTGGGGCCACATCTGCTATGAATTCGCCAAAGAGGTTTCAGAGACAAAATATTTACGTGCAATTTATTTTGCTCAACTCTCGTATCATTTCAGAATAAACTCTATGTTAATTATAGTTTAAGCTAATTAAACTTAGTTCAGACTAGAGACGCTTCAGATTAATTCAAAGTTCATATATTCTCAAATTGAGTTTGATAACAAACAGTTTTTTTTAATTATATAGCAACATTCAGTTGGTGATCAAATAACACTAACTATGCTAAAAAGTTCTCCAATCATTTTTTTTGTGTGAAAGTTGCCTCTAATAAAATTTCGGTCAAAAAATAAATGTTGCCTCAATAATTTAAACGTTGTTTTCCTAGCAGTCCAGTAAAAGAAAATTGTCTAGATACCCAAGTGAACTAGAATGACCCACTTAACATAAAACATCCCATCTTCGTATGAATAATTTCTTTGAGATCCACATCAAGACCGTTGTGTGAAAGCAGAGCTTAAGGTAATTCATCCGATCATGGTCTAATCAGCATGTTTGATCTTGTGCATCAGAGTTAAACCCATGGTTTCTTCCACCTCGACATCTCCCAAGACAATGTAGTATAGTACTGCTGCATCTCCTTTGACTCGATCCTCATACGAAAAAGCATGTTTGATTAGATGGGTAGAGGGCGAAGAAAAAATGAACATTCGATTACTAGCTCTGACAATTCATTGATTATGAAATATTGAGAAAAATGATCATATACGAAGAAGATTTTGCGAATGCGTGGGTAAGATAACTAATGGACGTAACATTTTTTTTTTATTAGTTTACATTGTTTGATGAAGAAAAAGCCATATTGACGGCATGAAGTAACTTGGTGGTAATGGCCAAGCTTAAAACCGGAACCATGAAACCAAGAGAAAAAACTTGTTGTGACAGTTCATCATCATCCTCTGCGGGAGGGTTTCATTATTTTCATAGCCATGATTTTTATGATGATGAAGAACTAGTAGTAGTGTATCTAGTAGCTGTAATTTTTATGTTATTAGTGCCGGTCCAATATTTTTATTTTCTTTTTATGTCTTAAGTTCACTTAAAATTTTATGTCTTTATTATTCATGTAATTTTTTTTATCATGTCCTATATATAACTAAAATTATTATTTAAAATTATGATGTCCTAAGCAGTTGTTTACCTCGTTTATGTCCCGGACCGGCCATGACCGGCCATGTATGTTATGGTGTTGGAGAATTAGTTTTGTACATGTTCGTCTTTGAACTAGCTAAACTTACAGTATGCTCTGCGTTGTCAATTTGTGTTATGAGTGTGTACGAAGTTTTGTTGGTATGAATGTTAAAAGAGTATGTACAAAGTTTACTTTTTGAATTGTAAGTTTATGATGTAGTTTATCTTCTAAGTAATGGTAAGTAAGTTGGATAAAAACTACTATATAATTATTTTTATTAGCATTCCATATTTCAGATTTCAAAGTATAAGCTGCAACACTTTAAACCCATATGAACAAATCCATGCACGAAGTAAAAAAACAAAGTCAAGATTTTAACGAGCCAAAGTGTATACTTGTAGTCAAGTTTTTGTTGGCATAACAAGCGTTAACATACTTTTGTCCAAATATTCGAGTAACAACACTTCGGAAGCAACAACAACATTTGATACTGATTTATTCCAATCCAAGAGCTCCTGGTCTTGTTCAGGAGACATTATGTACAAATTGCAAATATAAATCGACCAAAAATAATACACTTTAAACCAACAAGGTTTGAAGTATCTATATATAGTGTAGTAGACACCTGCCGCCGTTACGTGCTCCGTTTGTCATCCCATAATCTCACGACACTTCCGTTTATCACCATCAAGTCCACGTAACGGTACCAATCTTCATCACCATTTCTCATCTTCACAACTCTCTCCCACCACTCTTCACAATCACCCAAACCACCTCCATAGTTAACAGCGGACGTTAACTCTCCGTCTCCGTCAACACCCCTCCCTACGTCAACGTCTACCTCGTAGTACATAGTCATCTTCCCTTTTGTCACTCCATCATCGCATATTAACGTCTCCCAAACCTCCGTTTTCATAACCACCGTTTCCTCCACTCGAGCCAACCCCGTTTCTTTAACCGGGCCGGCTATAGCTTGCGGTTCTTGTTCAGATTTCGTAACGGTTTGTTCCTCTAACAAGCCACATCCATGACGTCCGTCGTCTCCAACGGTGGTGACTCTCATCCTCCAGAAGCTGACGGCTGCCGTCACGACAGCGATCCATGTCCAGACATTGTTGACGATGGCAAGAACACCGAAGCTAACGTATTCGAAAGCCAACGCTTCTAATGGAGAAACCAAAGTGGCCATGTCTTTTTTTTGTTAATTTGCCTTGATGATAAGCAAAGAGGTGATTGGTTAGGTGGTTTATATAAAGATGGTAAAAGAGAGAGAGGAAGGAATATGAAAGCCTCACCGTTGGATGAAGAGAGAGGAACGCTAAGCCGTTGGATATTATCAAGTGGAAGTATGAATATTTCATAGATGCTGAGAATCGAGAAGGAAGATGCTTTTGTTTTCAAGAAAGATGCGCACAGCCAAATACTTATTCCTCATCGGGTTCGCTGGCCCTCAAAATATAAAATAGTATAAGCAATATATGACAACAAGCCCTTTTTTCAAAAAAAAAAAAAACATATAACAACAAATGGTTGAGTTAACTTGGACCTCAAAATGAATAGTATAAGATCTATTATGTTATTTTATTGAAACTATTTAGAATATTGCATGGCTCTTAATACTGCTTACGATTGTGTGCATGTCCTACGCATGGAGGTGCAACAATACTAGGTGGAGGATATGTCGCCCATCACTATATTCATATATTCTATATCTCAAATAGGATCAATAATAGTTTTCTAGTTTTATCTTAAAATCTTTAGATATATTCATATATTCTATATCTTAAAAAAGTATCAATATTTGTGTTGACGGATGAACCTTTGATATTGGTTGTTTTGGGCCTTTTGGCTGATTGGATAACTGCTTGTTTATGGTCATGTGACAGTTGATACTTGATAGCATAAGCAACAAAGGAAACTTATATCAATTTGGAGTTGTTCATGTATACCTGAGATTTCTCACTCATGTCCTTTGTAATTTGTAACTAAAGCTTAAAAGAGTGACAAACACACAAAATAATGTTTTGTTCAAGTAATGTATGAAAATCTTATAGAAATGCATAATCAAGCTCTATTTTCTTCTTGTGTAATGTGTAAGCATTTGCACCCTTGTTTTTTAATAAAAAAGCTACTATTTCACAACGTTAAGTATATTGATTTAGTGCATGCCCTTAAACAAATTAATTCATGCAACATAAAAAATAATATCAATTCATATATAAAACAATTCTAACAGTATCATTTAAAATACAGGATACAGCTAGATCAGAGATGGAAACAGAATAAAAAGTTCTAAATTAAAGATATACATTGACCTATAGTTAATCATAAAGGAAATTAGTGGTACATATATTTACAAAAAAAGAATACATATAGTCGTACGAGAAGAGACAATCAATTCACCTCGCCCATCAGACTATTCGATCTAACACACAAACCAACAAGCAAATCCAGAGGGTTTTATATTTTATGTATTCAGGGTCAAGAAATTTTTTATGAGACACTTACGAATTAAAACACCGCACATGTGAGAAGATATTGCAAAATCCATCCATAATACTCCGCAAAATATTATTCGTCATATAATATATACGCCAATTAGAAACCATGTGCTTGTCTCGTAACTGTATTACACAGTATAACTCATCGTTTTTATGTTAATCATAATATTAGAATAAAATGATCACCTTATCGTTAAGTGTATCACATGCTTGCCCAAAAATGTTTAAGTGAATCACATCAAGTGGTGGTCCATCCCAGATGTAATTAACAAACCATTGTTGATCTCAAGCAACGGATGTAGGCATCAATTACTAACAAGGAATATCCGGTACTAGCTAGAGATCATGCTTTTCCGACTAATTGTCAACGCCGAAATAATTGGTGTTCCTATACATTTCAGCAAGCACTCTATCAAGTTGATCACTACTGTTGATTATTTGTAGATGCTTTTATGGTTCTCGCTGGATTTAGTTGGGAAACTTTCAAGAAAGATGGCAGAAACCTGATAGCAGGGTCTGCTACGTTACCGTCTATCTAAAGAACCCCCTTCAGAAGTTGAGGCTAGAAGAACTAAAACAAGCAACAATTAATGTGCGCATCTTCTACACAAACGTTAGAGCATCAGCAGACATAAGAAACTAAAGAATGTTTCTTTTTTTTTTTTTTTTGTCAACTAACTAAAGAATGTTTCTCAACCAAAAATTTTAATACTTAAATACTCCCTCTATTTGTCTTTTTAGAATTGTGCACACGTACTAAAGAAACAATTAATTTTATATATTTCCTATATAAAAACACAATTATCTGTACATCTAACCACATTTTAACCAATAGAAAAACAAATTACATAATAAATTAATAAATTTTGTATTGAAAATCGAAAACAATACTTATTTTATAGCGAAAAAATCTTTACAACGACACTTAATATGAAACGGAGGGAGTATAATATATTAACCAATTAAATATGATATGACTTAAATGAGTCTTTCAAAAAAAGGAAATTGAATCTTCAAACAAAATACTTTTTTTTTTCTCTCTTATTTTTAGTTTTTTGCTTTTTAATTTTATGTTTTGCATTTTTTTTTTAACTTATTGAGCATTCTCAGCTGCTCATTAGAACATTAACCTCAAAGATCTAGCCCATGGAGCTCTATGGACCTTTATCGATCAGCTACCTCTCCCTTTTTTCTGCATTAATTTTCTTTTGTTCAGCGCGAGACTATCGGTGCAGCCTAAGCTTTAGATATATCCAGAGCCGGTTCTCGGTCCAAACAATAGAAGTAATGACTTCTGGCCACCAATAAATATCAAAAATACCGGCCACAACATTTTCAAAATGTTTTTTTAGTATTGTGATTGAACAGCTCTTGTACATGTACACAAACCAGGTTTCGAGCTCTACCCCACCAACATAATTTTAATTTTTGGCTCTTTTTCCATTTTTGGCTTCTAGTCTTAAGAACTCTAGGACCAGTTCTGGCTATATCAAACCACTCACACCCTCAGGGGTTAAACGCTCCATTATCATTGGCTATATCTTGGCTATTGCTTAAAAAATACAGTTTGAGATACCATCCACGATAATGTGGATGCTGATATTCTGTGGAGAATTGTTAAGAGAGTAAAACCGAGAAAAAGAAGAAATGCATATTTCAACAGGAAAATATTCACATGACATTTTAAAATTTTAAAGACTGCTACTAATATTCTTTCTTTTCAAGCCGATTACTTTTTAAAAAAGATTTCTGGTCAACTTTTCAAGCCGGTTACTAAGGATAACTTATAGTGCTGAATTAGCTAAACAAGCTAGATAGAATGACCAGAGCTCTGTAATCAAATGGATCATGTAACTTCATTAATGAAACATGTCAAGTGCATCTCATAATAGCGCATGGAGTGGAGATATAACTTGTTAAATCAAATAATCAATTAATAATAACGGGTCATACTGTAAATAAACTAACTTTCGGCGTAGAGAACGTGAGAAAACAGAAGAACCTGAAAAGCCGAAAGTAACGGGAAAGCCACAAAAAAATCTTATGTGCAAGAGAGAATCAATGAACTGAACAAAAAAAGCCTATAAATCCCAAAAAAGCCAATCTCCAGTTCCCTGATCTCCCAAAATTCGCTTCTCTATTCGTTTTGCCCCACCAAATAATTTTTAGATTCTATTAATTTTTAATTCTGATTTTTTTATTTATTTTTTTAGTTTCAGTTTCAGACTTGGATATATACATCCTTCCTCATCATCGTTTGAGCTTCCCAGTATTGGAACAGAAAAAACCTAAAAAAAGAACGAAGCCACGGAGAAAGAAAGAAATAGATCTTTGGGAGCCTCAACATCTTTTTTTTTTTTTATGTTGCATGGTGTTCCTCATCGAAGCCATATCAAGGAGTGCTTCTATTCGTTTTCCTCTTCAGGTAATAATGTACATACATATGTAAAAAATTTCGGATTTTATAGATCCTGATCTAATATTGATTCATTTTTCTTGCCATTAACATCGACGTGCGTTAATAATATAGGCGGATCAGTTAGGTTTTCTGATAGTTTTTTAGGTAAAGTGAGCAAAATTGTATAAAAACTTATTATGGATTTGATGATGTTCTTGAAAATGATCTATAATGTTTTAGTTTTGCACTGAATCTGAGATAAAACATTCCTTTTGAAAAAGACAGCTTTGGACTCTGTTTCTGTGTGAATTGTGGGTCCCTGTTTTGGTTGATGATAATATATATTCACTTTGTTTTTCTTTCACAAATATATATATCTAACCAGTAGTGCATTACTAATGATTCAAATTGATTTTTATTTCTCTTTACAGGGTTCATTTTCTAGTTTTATGATCGTGGTTACTATAGAAGGAAGTAATGTGTTTATTCCTTTATTTTTGACACAATTTAGTGAATTCGTAAATGCAGCTACAAGGAAAGAAGAAGATCTTATGAGACGTTTAGTCTCTCATTGAAGAAAACGTTGCTGGTCTTTTATATTATTAGACAGGGCAGATGGATGAAACCAATGCGGCAAAGTTAAGTGGAATCAGACAGATCGTGAGGCTAAAAGAGATTCTGCAAAAATGGCAAACCGTTACCATAGGGCCCAAGTCAGATGTCCCTCCATTAGCAGCTGGAAAGGAAGCTGCGGCAATGATCTCACCGGTTATCAACAAGAGGCTATTTGCCGTCAAGAACTGCGACTCGGATGAGGAAAGCTGCCAAAGCCCTGAGCCTCCCGCTGATGTTCCCAAAGGGTATCTTGCGGTTTATGTTGGCCCGGAGCTAAGGAGATTTATCATACCGACAAGTTATCTTAGCCACTCTTTATTCAAGGTGTTGCTTGAGAAGGCTGAGGAAGAGTTTGGGTTTGATCAGAGTGGTGCCCTCACCATCCCTTGCGAGGTTGAGACTTTCAAGTTCTTGATTAAATGCATGGAGAATAATCCTAAAGATTATCACCCTGATGACATCTCTGGTAAGCCCATTCTTACCAAGAAATCATACAATGAACTAGTCACAACCCCAAGAAATCATACTGGGTTTAGAATGGACTGGGCCGAGCCTGTTAGGACTGTTATCGTATCTAACCCTCCCATTACACTTACAAGAGACTTTACAAATTGTTTGATGAGGAATCAAGCAAAAGGCTTGTTATTTTGGACGATGATTATTGATAAACTAGAGTTGCCAACACTAATGGTTTTGTCTTGTCTTTTGCAGCTGAGGATGCAGTAGCAGAAAATGAAGAGTAAATACAAATCTTGTGAAGAAAAACTCTCAAAAACTTTTCTTTTGTTATTATGATTATTGTTATCCTTTATTATTATTTTTCATTTTAATCATGGGAATTGTTAGGGATCATTACTTTGGGGTGTTGTTCTAAAATCGGATAATCTTTGTATTTTCTTGGTTTTTATTTTCTTCTCCGTTATTTTTCAGGAGGGATTTAAGTTTTTAGATATATATGTTAGATGTGGAAGTATTTGGTGGTCAGAATGTGATACGAGATTAAACATGAACATAACCTCTTGTACGACAAAAATGTGCACACATCTGTTCTCTGTTGTTATTATCGAAAATGTTTGTCAACCAGGTAGACTAATGAATACTGCAAAATATGGATTTTCGTCGATTTGACAAGAATTGGTCGGATTTTGTATTTATGTTTTTTTTTTTTTTATCTGAGGTGTATACGGATTGTTGGATCCCGATCATATATGAACATGTAGTCATGTGTTGCTCAGTTTATTTTGATAGTTAGCGCTAAATGTGTGGTCACGCGATGATGCTTTTATGTGCTTGGGCATGTAGGGACAAATCATCCCTGTGATAGTTTGAGGTTTTACATATTATTGGAATTGTAAATTAGTTTTGCAACATGTAAAGCATCAGAGTCTAAGCGAGACTATAGACAGCTTTTTACTTCTCCATGGAAGACTAATTTTGGTTCACATACGAAACAGGATTTCAACCGTAGCATTGTAAGCCATGTCTGGTGGTTTTGCGATCCAATATCTAGAAAATATACGTGCTTATGTTTTCCGATGAAGTTGATTTTTGCTTTGTTTCAGTTTTAGGTTTTGATTCCTAGTTGTTTCTTATGTCTTTGAATTATAATTTTAGTGGTGGAAATATAGTCTTTGCAACTCTTTCGTCGGCTTTATCTCTTAACCCCTCCGTTTCAGATTAAATATCATTCTAGAATAATTTTTTTGTTTCAAAATAAGTGTTGTTTTATAATTTCAATGAAAAATTTATTGATTTTGAATGTCATTTTATTTTGTCATTGGTTAAAAAGTGGTTAGATGTATAGATAATTGTGTTTTTATTTTGAAAATATGTAAAATTAATTGTTTTCTTAATTTGTGTATAAAAAGCTAGAATGACAAGTAAATTGAAATGGAGGGAGTATATTTTTTAATGAAAAAAAATTAGAGAAAAACAAATGTTGTTTATTTTCTTTGCTTTTCCTTTTACCAAACAAAATGATTTTCTCACATGAATTTTGTAAGAAACAGTTTCATTTAGATATTGTCTGTAATGTATATATTTTCTCATTCATTAAATCTCTTTTTTCCGGAATGAAAGAGGTACATCAGTCTATAGACTTGACTATTTCAAAGTGCTTTTGTTTTTTGAAAAAAAAACATTTCAAAGTTCTAAACTACTTATTAATATTTATATAATATTTCATTGTATTATATGTTTTATATACGTATATGAGCATCATTAGTCATAAAATCCTTGTAGTCTATGAGCATATAATAAATTTTGTAAAATATTTAAAAAGCATACGGGCCTCTTTCGCGCCAGCCACCAGCAGAGTCCGGTCAACTCATTTAACCTATCAGCTCCCAGTATATGTATAGTGTATCCAATTTCCAATCTATTATTTGATCTACATTGGCGTTGCAATAAATTTTATAAAATAAGTAACATTTTTATATTACAAATTACAAGCCAATGTTTACATACTAAAATAATTTTATTGGTTGTTGTATCACTTAAATGAAGAAGAAAGATTTTAACAAAAGACTGTGTAAAGTATACAAAGTATAGAATATACAAACATAATCATCAAATTTTTCACCTAAATTTAATCGTGAGTTCAATAAGCGTAGAACTCGACAAGTTCGTGGACCGACTCGGGACGTGACTCGTCGGCGTCGGCGTTCTCAAGCATCCAAAGCAAATGCTCAAACAAGACAACCTCACACGACACAGCGATCGCACCGTCCTCGCCGCCACATCCACCATCCACCGCCGCTAGCTCCTGAAAGAGAGGGTGGCTCACGACGTCTGAGCTCACGTGGTACGGACGACGTGTTCTTCCGACGTATACGGTGTGAAGGTCTCCTGAGGGAAATGAACTCACGGCGGAGGATCGACCGTGATTGGTGGGAGTCGGTTGCTTGTTCGGTTTGGTGTTGAAGGAGTTTAGCTTCTTCATCAGCTTCATCAGTTTGTTGCCTCCTTTCGCCATTTTGCAGTTAGGTGTTGAGTGTCTGAAGCCTGAGATGTACGTCGGAGTGAGTTTTCCGGTGAGTGGGAGAGAGATGTTGATGTCAAAGAGGAGAGGGAGAGTGTGGTTCTTATATTAAGTTGACAGGGGTAGATTCGTAATTCTTTATTGGTTTTTGTAATATAATTTTTGTTTTTAAAAACGAAGTTGATAAACCTCAGGTACCTTGGCTTATTTGAATGGCAATCTATTGTTCTATAAATGTTTCCTATAGTCGCAATTTAGTCGAAAAATTAATGATTATGAATGAGAAAAACAAAGTGAGTGTCACATACGCAAAAAGTTGATTGATTTTCATATAAATAATTTATATACTCATATCACTCCAAAAGTTTCTGTTATCAGAGTCAGCCATATACATCATACATCATTGCTCCATGATGAATCTATTTAAAGTAAATTTTGCTTACGTTTTTAACTACATTGTGGTAAGCACTAAGGACGTTCGTGATTGTGTAGACTTGTTTGTGTGTTTGATTTTCATTACATTCTTTTTCATTTCCAAGAATTTCCATAGTATTTATATTTGATGATCACAAAATATTAGGGACAATCATGTACAATATTCACAGTGAATATTCATGTTCTGGTGAGTTTTAATTAGAACTAGAACTTAACTAATGCAACCGTGCGGTTGTTTTTCATATTTTATGTATTAAATTTAAAAATAGTTTATTTTTATTTCTATTTTTATATGGTATTTGTTCATATTGCTAATAAAATTTCAAATAATTTGTACCATAATATAACTTATTTGACATTGCATAAATTTTATGGTTGTCATTTTAGCTAATTAATTATAATATTTGTTACTTTTATATTTGAAATTGAAAGGAATGTTTTTTTCTAACATAATATTTTTAAAATGTCTTTTCAAAAATTAATCACAGTTAAAAATATTTTATATAGTTTTTTTTTTCAAATCAAAACAGTAAGTTTAATTTCTAATTATACTTATGATAATTAGAATATAAATTAGTTAATTTTGGAAAGCATTTCAAAAGATCTAAAAAAAAATATTTGAAAGAGATTTTTTAAATATTTATTTTGTTTCAAATAAAAAGATAAGATATGAAAATATATTATAATTAAATTATGTAAAATTTGTTAAAACTTCTGACTAATGGTCCAAAGTGAAAAAAAATGAAAAAAAATCATGACTTCTATTTTAATCTATATTAGATCCATCGAATTCAAATATGAAACATCTTGTTACATTGCATTTCCTTCTGGGAAAATAAACGTGAATATTGTGAATTCTCGCCAAACTAGTGTCCACAAAAAAATATAAATTAATGAAAACTTTAAACTTTAATCACTTAATTATACTAATAAATTAGTTCAACAACTAAAGGAGATGGTTCATGAACTTTAAAAACGACTTCACGAGTTCTTATTTGTTAGGTATGTAATTGGCTAGCTAGTATATACTATCTAGGCTATTATTTTTTTCGAGTTATCAGATCCCTTTTCTTATACATAACATGTTATAAAAACATGTATTCAACTGCAATTTTTTTGTCATGTTGTTGTGGTTAGACTAGACTCCAACATTATTCCTTTGTGCAGTTTATTTATCATTTACATTGTATTGGCGACTACTGTTATCGCATGTGAGTTCCCGAAGATTTGTCTTAATATTTTTATAACTATTATCTGTTATCTTAATAAGCCGACATAAGAGCATCAACTGTCTTTTTAATCAATCATGTAACCAAAAAACTAATACTTAAATACACCACCTCCTAGTTTGTCTACTTATAGATAAAATGAAAAATATATTTATGAATCTTCTTAGTAAACCTCAAGATAATATTAATTAGAGCTGCGCAAAAAAAGATTGGTGGAAGTCGCCGGAAGAGTCCAAATAAAGATGAAACAGAAGAAAAAAGATGTAAAGGAAAACTTCAACTTCATATTTTTCGGCGGGCTCTTCACACGTCAAAGCATCAAGCTGTAGACGAACCATTTAATTTAACTCATGGGACCAGTTCCGGCGTATACAAACCGTTTAGACGACTGAGTTTTCTTTGCCAAAGCGATGAAGACTTTGGTTCTTCAAATTTGCAATTAAAAAATAACAAAATTAATGACATATGCTAAAGCCAAAGTAGAATGTTTTTTGGAACACCATTTCATTTGCATTACAAAACATTAAGGATATAAGAGCAAGATTATTGCTCGGTTTTAACACGTCTCTTAGTGATGGGGACCCACACATTTGTTAAAACCCATAACAAAAGTCCCCAGATTAAGAAACAATTTTGTGTACCCTGTTTCGTGGGTCCCACGACACGTGGCGGCCCACGATTGGTCCTTTTTAAGAAAAAAAATAAAATAAAAAATAAAAAATAAAAAAATAAAGAAAATTTGGCGATAATGATGCCCTAAAAACATTCCGACCAACAAAAAACTTGTCTAGTGGCAAATAAATTTGGATCACATGATATAAGTTTAAGGAGCCGTAGATTTCGATTCTCATTGGAAGAATTGGAAGAAATATGCTCTCATAAGGCAAGTTAATTCAACATGGTTTAGGCTTTGCTCTAGAGAGAGATGTACACTTCAGATCCAAAACTTCTTGATCATTAAAAAAAAGCATTAAGAGGAGATGCATTCAACTAAAAATTTGATGTGATTTGTATTAAAATGGTAAATCAATTGAAATTCAAAAATGAATTTTAAAATACTTTTAAAATCCAGTTTTATCGAATTTATTATTTGATAAACTAATATGAAATATACTATTATTGAATATATTATATATTTTAAAATTCTTCTAGTCATTTTAGAGTGTTTGAATAGAGTTTCTTAGTTAAAAAATAAGAAAAAAATCTAATTTCATAGATTTAGATAAAAAATTTAGAATAGTTTAATAAAAACCATAGTAAACTCTATTTCATTTAATTTCGTCCAAAAATACTAAAATCAATTCAATAGATTGAATACCCCCCTTATGTTTGAGATGAAACGAGGTCATATCTTTAAAATACACTTTCAAAACTGTTCAATTACAATTACACTTTTAAAGTACATAATTCACTAAAAATATCTCTTTGCTTTCCTTTAATGATAAGCTTTGGTTCTTAATTACTTTTAGACGTGCCTTAACCAATTAAGGAGAATGCACACACATGTGTGTTCCCCACTTTTAAGTGGTGCATGCATGTACTCTGGATAATAAAACCAAACATTTGTTTTGAGGAAACATGTAAAAACAAAACCTAAAGTATTATGTTAATAAGCCGTTTTTATTCTCCCTTAGTGTATGTTGGTGAGCGAGGACCCTTTTGGATCTTTTGATGTCTTTATTCAAAATATTATATCATTTCAAATATATTGTCGGAAACCCAAAAATTCGCCCCTGTATTATTATCCCTTTCTTTCCAAATTATTATTCCCTAATAAGAAGCACCATTAGTCTTTGTAAATCCACTATATGAATCAATCACACGGCGCGGAGATACATGTAAATGATATGGACTAATCATAATTTTAGAAAATAATACTGACACAAGGGTTATAAAAATGAGAGATGCTTCGGATTGTAATCATCGCAAGAAAAAATATCCTGCAATCTCTACCAACTTAGATGATCTGATAATGTTGTTATCGCACATATTATAACATCTACATGTAAATCCTTCTTAAGATTACAAAGTTAGTTACACTACACATGTGAGACATAGACCATCGTGAACCATACCAAACAGAAAAGACATGTGAAACAAGTTGGTATGTATATTGACTTATGCGCCACCTCTCCACTTGCAAAGATTAACAATACTCTTAAAATACAATATTTGGAGTATTGTCACTGATTCTCTATTTGCAAAGAGGCACAAGAGCTTTTAACATTTGCAGATGAAATGAAGTTGAATGTAAATACTAAATACCTATAAGGGTGGCACTGAATCTGAATATATTATATATCATGTTATGTGTTTTGAACCGTTACCTATCTTTTTTCTTCGTTTTCTTAGTGGTCTTACTAACATACTTAAGGCATACGATTCAAGCAGAGGTAATAACTAATTAATATGCCAAAATAACTATATAAGGATGAAGCATTCAAATATGCAGTAGTCGATGAGACCTACTTTGTAGATCATTTGTAATATGGTAATGTTGAAAGATAGATTTTAAGATAGAAAAATACAAATTTCATTGCCAATTATGAGGGAGATCCCTCAACAATCAGAATACAAATCATTGCCAGAGAGACAGGATTAAAAAAAAGCACAAAGACAAGAGGATTGAAACAACAAGTAAGCAAGAGGAACACATAAGCGCGCTCCTAAATCCGAATGATGATAAGAATCAAAAGAGATTTTTGTTATTCTTCACACACTGGAACCTTAATATTCAATGGTTCCACATATTTTCTCTCTTCTTCATTACTCTTGAGCAAGAGGAACAGCCTGAGCCTATAAGACACAAAGGAACAACAGAGAAACCGCATCAGAGAGAAACAAAGTTTAAGTGTTTAAAAAGGCTTCAAGAATGAGAGAATACATACCAGTGGGCGATACTTCAAGGCATAGAACATCTCAAGGTAACGACGGCTCTCAAGACGGTCAAGGTTTGAGACATGCTTCCAGAATCCATACACACCAGTCAGTGTCAGGAGCCTCTGTGAGTAAATCTGCCAGGTGTATCTGTAAAAAGCATCACAAAAGATTAAAGTCAAGCTAAAACTTGAGACTAGTAAAAGAACAAGAGAGCATGAGTTTTCTTTCTTACTTCTCCTCAATCCTCTGAAGCCCACCCTTTGAGATCTGGTCCCAGTGAGATGGATCTTCCTTACACTTGGTGAAGAAATCAGCAAGAGTATCAGCAGCCTGATCACCATGGTAAGGGTCAATGTGGAAACCTGATTTGCCATGCACAATGATCTCAGCTGGACCACCTTTGCATGTGGCGAAAGTTGGTAAACCACAGGTCATGGCCTCCACAACAGTCAGACCAAAGGCTTCATACAGTGCTGGTTGCACAAAAGCACCCTTGGTGTCACAGATGTACCT